TGTGTGTGTGTGTGTGTGTGTGTGTGTGTGTGTGTGTGTGTGTGTGTTTATGCGTCTCTTTAGGTGCATAGGCAGGGTGCTCAGTTCTGTTGACGGGGTGGGGCACCCCGCCTGTATAATGGTAGGGGAAACACTGTTGAAGCAGTAGTAGTTAGTAGTTAGTAGTAGTAGTTAGTAGTAGTACAAACCGGATTCCAAAAAAGTTGGGACACTAAACAAATTGTGAATAAAAACTGAATGCAATGATGTGGAGATGGCAAATGTCAATATTTTATTCGTAATATAACATAGATGACAGATCAAAAGTTTAATCTGAGTAAATGTAACATTTTAAAGGAAAAATATGTTGATTCAAAATTTCACAGTGTCAACAAATCCCAAAAAAGTTGGGACAAGTAGCAATAAGTGGCTGGAAAAAGGACATTGAGCATGTAATGAACAGCTGGAAGACCAATCAACACTAATTAGGTCAATTGACAACATGATTGGGTATAAAAAGAGCTTCTCAGAGTGTCAGTGTCTCTCAGAAGTCAAGATGTTAAGAGGATCACCAATTCCACCATTGTTGCGCAGAAAGATAGTGCAGCAATACCAGAATGGTGTTACCCAGCATAAAATAGCAAAGACTTTTAAGTTATCATCATCAACCATGCATAACATCATCAAAAGATTCAGAGAATCTGGAACAATCGCTGTGCGTAAAGGTCAAGGGCGTAAAACTCTACTGGATGCTCGTGATCTCCGGGCCCTTAAACGTCACTGCACCTCAAACAGGAATGCCACTGTCAAGGAAATAACAAAATGGGCTCAGGGATACTTCCAGAAAGCATTGTCAGTGAACACAGTCCACCGAGCCATCCGTCGTTGCCAGCTGAAACTCTACAGTGCAAAGAGGAAGCCATTTCTAAACAAGCTCCATAAGCTCATACGTTTGCACTGAGCCATGGGTCATTTAAAATGGAGTGTGGCAAAATGGAAGACTGTTCTGTGGTCAGATGAGTCACGATTTGAAGTTCTTTATTGAACACTGGGACGCCATGTCATCCGGACCAGAGAGGACAAGGATAGCCCAAGTTGTTATCAACGCTCCGTTCAGAAGCCTGCATCACTGATGGTATGGGGTTGCATGAGCGCTTGTGGCATGGGCAGCTTGCATGTCTGGAAAGGCACCATTAATGCAGAGAACTATGTTCAGGTTTTAGAACAACATATGCTCCCATCTAGACGTCATCTCTTTCAGGGAAGACCCTGCATTTTTCAACACGATAATGCCAGACCACATTCTGCAGCAATCACAACATCATGGCTACGTAGGAGAAGGATCCGGGTACTGAAATGGCCAGACTGCAGTCCAGATCTTTCACCTATAGAGAACATTTGGTGCATCATAAAGAGGAAGGTGTGACAAAGAAGGCCCAAGACGATTGAACAGTTAGAGGCCTGTATTAGACATGAATGGGAGAGCATTCCTATTTCTAAACTTGAGAAACTGGTCTCCTCTGTCCCCAGACGTCTGTTGAGTGTTGTAAGAAGAAGGGGGAATGCCACACAGTGGTAAAAATGGACTTGTCCCAACTTTTTTGGGATTTGTTGACGCCATGAAATTTGGAAACAACAGATTTTTCCCTTAAAATGATGCATTCTCTCAGTTTAAACTTTTGATCTGTGATTTGTGTTCTATTCTGAATAAAATATTAGATGTTGCCACCTCCACATCATTGCAGTCAGTTTTTATTCACAATTTGTTTAGTGTCCCAACTTTTTTGGAATCCGGTTTGTAGTTAATAGTAGTAGTTAGTAGTAGTTGGTAGTCTCAAAAACATTCTCTAAATGTAACATCCTGACGTCTCGTAGGATTGTTCATAATTTTGTTGACTAGGTTTGACCAAAATGGTACAACTTTGTTTATTTTCTGAACATTATATTACCATTTTCTTGTAGTGGTGGCAATAAATGCTGTAATATGTAATCCTTCAAAAGATACTAGGCCTTTAAATATTTTGTAAATTTTGAAAACTATATATTTTTCATGTCTCTTTATGTGTTCTTCTTTATTATCTCCAGTCCACTTGTCTTTTCCAATTTAGCAACATGTTTCCTGTTGTGAAGACAGAAGAAACTGCCATCACTGATCAAGGTGCATGAAACTAGATGAGATAAAAGTGAAGTCCAGTTTTATGTAACACTAAGTGTTTTATTTTATTCTACCTATTGTTCACAGAAGCTTCCTCCGTTTCACAAATGGAAGGTAAGAGTTGCAGCCAGCGATGGAGGACACATCTCCCAGAGTTTAAACACAGCCACAGATTATGTCCAGCTGCAGACAACGGTCAAAGAACTGATGGAAAACACAAGGAGGCCAACAATAATGTGACCATAGCAGCCACATCCAGGTACCTGACATACCGACGCTATGTGGAGAGAAAACCTCTGACCTCTGGAGAACAGCATGGCTCTATCCTAAAGGGAACACATCCACAGAACGTCACAGAAAAAGTGAGTGGGGTAAAGAAAGAAGCATTTTTTTAAATTAATACTTTTGTCTTTAGAGGTAATCATGCTGCTGCTTTTTAATTTGTAAACTGTCCTGTGCACTTCTTCTTCTTCTGACTCTTAAGTTAGTATATTCTATATTCTTTAGTGTATTCTAGCATTTCACTGGTTCTGTTTGCAAGAATCTTCTTCTTTGGGCTTTTCCCTTGTAGTGAACTCGGCCTCCGACCAAAACCTGCCTCTGAGGACCTTCATGGGACAGGAACTGATATTTCATTGATTTGAATCCAGAAATACAAATTAGCTCATCCAGAGACTGTCTAATATTATCCTGAATTAATCAATTGAAAGAACACTCTTCTTTTATATTATCATCACTATTTTACAATATCTTGATAAATCAAAAGTGTGTTTAATTCATACCATTTCTAAATGTTGAACCACTCATTTTAAATCAACTGTGAAACGGTATTAATGATTTTTTTAATCCTCATTTAAATTAGAAATCAAGTTAAATGTCTATTTTACAAAGTAATTATGCATTTTTGATCTTCTGTCTAAATGAGAAGTAGTCATGTCGGTCGAAAGTCAGAAAGAAGTTATTAGAACGAAGTGTCGTGTTTTTAAATCTAGCAGACGGTAAACAAGAAGCTACTGGCCTCTCTTCCTCCCACTTCGCCATAACGTGTCTTCTGTCTGTACGGGACGTTTCTAAAACATTCCTGCTTTTTTCTTGACTTGTAATGACCCTCTGACGTCACTAGAACCACCCCCTGTTGGTTGCTTCAACCAATCAGGAAGTCCTGAGGTGACCGGAAGTGAGAACTCTTTAAGAGTCCACACTTCCTGGAACTTCTCAGGTCAACTGGGTCTTGAGTCGGTCTTCAGTCTTCTGGAGTCCTGGACCGGAGTCTTCTTCAGTCTTTCATGGAGTCCTCCACATCTGAGTGGAATCTCTGACTGAAGTCTTCCTGAGGGTTCTTAAGGAACTTTCAGATTTAATCCATAGCTGATGGATTTGACCGTTGAACGGAGTACCATCACTACTTCGGACGATTCTCTGCCAACCTTGCCGGAGACGCTGAAAGGTAGCGTTGAAATGGACTCCTGTTCCTGAGAGGAGGTATCCCCGCCTAAGGTAACGTCGCCACGCACCTAGTGTACCGGGGCTGAGCTGGGGTCGGATGAAGGGTGCCATTCCTAGTCAACACACATTCCTTTTTAGCAATCTTTTCTCTCCATTTAAACTCCTTCATTTCCCATCTTTAAACTCTTCGATTTTGCCAGTAATTAATCTAGATGCCTTCAGAAATGTCTGTTGTTTTTATTAAGTAAAACGTGGCAAGTTTTATTAATCAGAACCAGATCAGCTAATCACTTGTACATTTTGATGTTAAATTTTGATTCTGTTAAATAAATGACCACATTTATTCTGATGGGTCAAAGAAAATTAACGTCTCAGTGTCACTGATTAAACAATCCAAGCACAGTTACCTCGGTCACATGGTTATAATTTAAATCGAAAAAGAGAGAACCCGTTTATTTAAATATATTGTGGTCAAGGGCAGCTAAAACTTAGCCCTTATAACCCTACACCCTCTTCAGGGGTCGCCGCAGCGAGTCATCCTGCTCATCTCACTTCTGTTTGTAAGAATGTTGTAGAAAATGAACGTCCACATAAACTCTTGGTGAATACATGAACTGACGGTGTCACCTGCTGAGAAAGATGCTACACCTAGACCAGGGGTCTGCAACCTGCGGCTCTGGGGCCACATGTGGCTCTTTGGTCCCTCTGCAGGGGCTCTTTCAAGCTTTGACCAAAACTGACATAAAACAGAATTTTATTGTTTATTATACAAATAAAAATAAAACTGGTTTTAGACATTTTCATATTTCAGCTTTTTGGTCATTTCTTATGTGAATACTAGAACTAATACAAGAAGGAAAACATACTCACTTTAACATTATGCTTTATTTCTATACTTAATTATTTTTTACACCATTAAAAAAATCACAGGTCTACATAGTTCATAGGTTTTCATTTTATTTTTAAAATAATTAGTAAAAAAAAAAAAAAATACAATTTATTTATTTTTTCCTTTACAAGAATCTGTTTTTTCTTTTGTTTTAAACTGTAAAATATATATATATATATATAAAGTAAAAAAAATCATTAGATAATTTTAGCTTTATAATATGTGGCCCCTACTGGCCACCTAACCCCCTCCAACAAAACCTAAAGCGGCCCTCGGGCCACCAGTTGATAACCACAGATTAATTTAGTGAACAAAGGCACAAAAATGGTTCCTTTGATCATAAAGGTTGCTGACCCCTGACCTATACCAAAAAGTGCATGTGAAAATTATTTTCTAAGAGCTTATGTTTGTAAAGCTTTTCATAAAATACTCAATATATTTAGCATCCTGCTGTTTATGATAAGATAATAGGCACGAGGACTGTCAATTCACACTGATTTGAACAGGCCCACCGTCTACTCTATGTAATAACACTCGCATAAAAAACATGTAAAATATTTATAATAAATATATAAATGGCTTTCAAGAATCTTAACAACAGAGAAAGAAGAAAACTACTATAAAAATATCTAGTACATTATATCAACTACTTTGTCCACTTGGCTCCGCCCCTGTTTTCAGCATGATGTTTTTCTAACGGTTTGGTTCAGTATATTTCAGGTTTATATTCAGTCGAGGAAATGGAGAAGTACACATCTCTAGATAATTATTGCATTAAAGTAACACAGGTGATTAAAATGTGTCAAACAGACTACGTGGTGACCAAAGTGTCCACAGCAGCTTTCTCTTTTCACTTTCTGGTTGTCTCAGAACTAGCTTCCTCCTGTATGTTGCTAAAGTTTCGCTGCAACTTTTCCAAGAATTTTGTTCATTCTGGCTCTACACAAGCACTTTCCTGTATTTCACTACATCTAGCTCAATACTAGCTTTTTCCTGTTTTTTACTAACAATTGGTTAGGTTGGCTAGGTTTTTTATGTTTTGTTTTATTTCCAAGCATTTTGCCACATTTTTGTTTTCAGCAAGATTTCTCCTGCTTTTGCAAGTGTTTCACTACTTCATGCTTATACAATGGTGCTTGAATGTTTGTGAGTCTTTTATAATTTTCTGTATTTCTGCATAAATATGACCTAAAACATCATCAGATTTTCACAAATATATAATATTGGATCATTTTCCTCAATAAATAAATGACCAGGTATAATATTTTTGTCTCATTTGATTAACTGGGTTCTCTTCTTCTACTTTTAGGACGTGTGTGAAAATCTGATGATGTTTTAGGTCATATTTATGCAGAAATATAGAAAATTATAAAGAGTTCACAAACTTTCAAGCACCACAGTGTTTTCTTTCATTTTGCTAAGTGAGAGTATTTTTTATTTTTTAATTGCATGTACTCGTGTGTGAATGCTACAAGTAATAATATTTGTGCACCTGTTTGCCGTCATTCAGGTAAAACCTCATGACAGCAGAACAGAACATACCAGCATAAGAGACCTGACTGAACCAAGAGAGGCTGCAGGGAGCCACAGTCACATCTCACTTTCCACTGCCTCCAGCAAAGACCACACCTCACCATTGAATGTCTCGGGGCTCCAGGGCCGGCCAGGTAGCGAGGAGCCTGGTTTTAGATTATCTTTTCATGGCAGCAAATCAGTTCTGCAAAGTCCCTTCAGTTCCATTCTGGAGGTCCAAAAACTAAATCCTCCTGTGAGGCCACAGCTGACCTCTACAGTTCTTTATCCCACCTACACTCCTCGCTCACAGAACTTCAAGTCCTCCAAGGCTCAGCTCAGATTCCAGGAAGGAACCAGAAGGGAGGACACTAGCCTAGGTATTCCAAAGGAATCCTCAAAAAGAAATGATATGTCTTCCTTTCAGGAGGACTACTGGACCTGTGCCATTCCAAAAACTCTCCCCCCTTCTCCAAACAGGCAGTCTGCTGGTTGGAACCCTAACAAAGAGTATGAGACTTTGCTGGACTACACCTACCCTCTGAGACCAGGACATGTGGACTGTGAGTGGAGTAGCTCTGAGCTACAAGGAGACTCTTTTCTGAAGACAAACCCATACATGCAAGACTCAGGAATTGAATTAGACCATCTTGACAGCTCTGCCAGCCTTTCAGGGTTTGAGTTTTCTGAAAATGGGGAAGAGAAGACCAGAGACACTCAGACTTTTTTTGCAGGTTACAGGTCACCTGACCTTGAGGGTTTCCTCAAATCCTCAGATAGTCCATCTTTCAGTACCCCGGTGTCCCTTACGAAACCCATGGGTTTGTTTTCAGACAGTTTGGATCGCAGTAGGGACAAATGTGAAAACAGGTATCACAACAGGAGTGGACACAACCATCAGCATCGTGCAGCCGCTTCTTCCACGTCTACAACCTTTGTTTGCTCCACCACTGTTCTTCCACGGTCCAGGAACATTTGTGGAGAGGTTGATGAAGATTTCTTGCTTCTTCCAGAGCAGCTGGAGGAGTTGCAGCAGCTGTCCAGACAGGTGAGTGCACAACATACAGGTGTATCACACACGAAGTAGCGAGAGACTAATAGTCCCTCGCTACTTCGCAGTTAATTTTTCGTGGATTGCCTCTATCACGGTTTTCAAAATAAGATTGGACATGACACATAATTGGCTGTTGGTGGATGAGCCGCACGATCGGCATGGAATTTTTATTTAAAATAAATTGATTTAAATTATTTAGCAGCCCAGAGCTGCAGGATAAACTTCCTGCTGCAACTGATCAGCGTGCAGAGCGGAGAAGTGGGCGTGGCCAAGAGTGCTTGCAGGTGGCTGAGAGCAGAGGAGGCAGACAACTGAAATCATGACTTTCTGTGCTCTTTTAGATATGGTTCACTACAGAAACATTGTTTAGAATATTGCAAGAGTGAGGGA